GGGTTTTGTCTCTTTGATCTCTTTCGTCTCCTAGGTAACTTGCTTGACATTAATGTTGAGCTTGAGTAAAGACAATAAGGAATTGTAGACCAAACTGATATAAAAATTAAAGACTTTAGCACTTTAAGTACTTCAGTAATGGTTCCGCTTTACTTTAGAAAACATCTGTTTTCATTTAATTAAAGAACAAAAGTGAATAGCATGAATATTTTATATAGAAACCTGTTATTTTACACATAGACACAAAACAACTTTAATATGATAATTGGCTCTTTTTTTAAAAAAAAAGAATACCTTCAAACTGTTTGACAGAAAATGAAGATTTTAAAATTTGTCACCAGGTATTCTTGATAGCTATTTAGTTTTTCTTTGTGAAAAATAATGGATAGGAAATTTGTGCTCTTCTCTTTAAGCTGCTAGAGCAAGATTTCTGAAATGATTATCTTTGAACTTCAATATGAATGAATGCTTTTTGCCTCATGAAAAACTTACTTGATTAAAAAAGTTTTCCTCTTAAAAATGGTAATGAAGATGAATCACTATATCAACATTACTCTTCACATATTAAATACAACTTCACATATTAAATGTATAAAATTGACCGGATCTTTAAAAAAAAATGTTGCAATGCATTTGCTTGAGGTTATACAGACGCTTTTACAAATCTTCCAAGTGGCTGTAAAGATGAATGCCTCAAGGGTCTAGCCAGGGCCCTGCTTTTCCAACCAGCTAAAGCCCTTATCTTAAATCCAAGCAAAGTACCATTAATCTTTTTGAAAGACCTTTTATGGCTTTTAATATATCCCAAATTAGAACATTTTACACCCTTGGTTCCTGAAATGTGGTGATAAAAAGCCTTTAGAGCTTAATTTTCTTTACTGCATGCTCTGACCAATTTGCAGTTCTTTGTGATAATGTTTAGACACCTTAATTAAAATGCAGCAAAATATTGGATGTTCTATATGGAAAATGCTGATACTTTGACTACATAAGAAAGTGTTGTATATATTTTTATTCAAGTTTTATTGCTTCTTATAGCATTGCAGCTTGCTACATTATCTGATGACCTTTAAAAAAAAAATAAAGACCAAGATTTGGGGGGTCCTGTTAAAATGGGAAATGAAACTACATGCATGAGTGTATATGGAAGCATAAAATGTTCATTTCACTAAGGCATAGTCAGTGATTTATTTTATGTGCTTTCTCTGCAATTAATTTTTTAAAGGTTACTTTTAATATTCTGTAATATCTTTTTACTCCAATACAAATATCACTTTTATTTATTTATTAAATTATCAAACATATTTTCCGTCTGTAACAGTATGTACCATTTTAAGCCCTTTTGAATCTATGCTTTGGTAATTACATGGAGTTATTTCATTCCTAACAAATCAAAACAAAAGATAGCAATGCAAAGAATTTATATAAGCCTAATTGGTGATATTGAAAGACAGAAAAGCTGCACCTGTAGGGCCTCTATGTAAGTGCTTGTGTCTACATCACAATTAGGCTGTATTTGATATTATAAAATCTTTTCAGACAGTCTAATGGCAGAAATATGGGAATGTGGATATGAAATTTCAAAATATAATGTGCCCTGTGTAATAAGTCCTGTATATTTGGGTTAATGGTTAATACCATTACTATATGTGTAATTTTATGTTAGTATATTATACTTTTATCAAATAATAAGTATAATAAAAATCAGTGGACATAATTCTTGTTTGAGTACAGGTAGTCCTTGGCTTAGCTAACATTTGAATTTATAATGGACCAACCTGGGGCAGTACTTAACCCTCCAGATTCAAAGCTTCAGTGGCCAGTTCCCCCTCCCACAGACACATGACTGCACTTAATGTGCTTGGCAGCCAAGTTGCATTTAAGACATAAGACATAAGACATAAGAATTTATTTGTCATTACACTCGCAAGCGGGTGCAACGAAATGAGGTGCTCTTCCACAAGTAAAACTGGACAACACTATTGAAAGAAAAATAAAATTAAACACAACAGAACAGATACAATAATCTCTATACAATTTAAAAATGTAAATACCCCATTACTCTCAGCCATTAAATTCCACAAAATCTTATGACCCTGCATTCAAACTCAAAGCTGCACTTGGATAAAAACTGTTCTTAAATCTAGTCGTCCTTGTTCTTAATACCCTGAATCTCCTTCTCGATGGTAATAGTTCAAAGAGCTGATGTCCCGGATGAGAGGAGTCATTCAATATATTAAATATCTTCCTCTTACATCTATTCCTATACCGTTCTTCCAAAGAGGGGAGTGAGCAGCCAGTGATGTTTTGGGCCATCTTAATCACCCTCTGAATTGCCTTTTTCTCTGCCACTGTGCAGCTCGAGAACCATACACAGAGACAGTAGGATAATATACTCTCAATTGAACTCCGATAGAAGGTAGTCAGTAGACTCTCAGCCTATTTATAGCTGTTTGCAGCATCCCACAGTCACATAACCACATTTTACCTTGGTCTTGCCAAAAACCAGCATTTACTTTTGGTTTTCAGCAAAACTGACCCTATAGCAAACCATTGTTTTGCTTAACGAATATAGCATGCACTTAAAGTCTGCTTCAAAAGTCATAAAATCAGATCAGTCATGTGGTGACCCAATTGATTATGATTATGATTACAACCATGAGGGGCACACTTCATTAAGGTCAGTGACAACCTATATAAACCCATTTTGTTGTCCATGAAGAAGAATTCCTCACTGGTATTGTAACATATATTTTAACTAACAAAAATAAAAGTAACCTGCAAAATATATTTTTGGACAACAAAGAAATGTAATCCTTTTCATCTGGGAGACTTATTTGATAAGCCATTTTTAAAAGAGTTTACCTATTTGTAATTAGAAAATATGTTGGAAGCAATTCATTAATTTATTAGTGATGCAGTTATATTCATCAAACCTCCACATACAATATTCAAAACAAAACAAAGCACCTAATGTTACTCTGCATAATATTTGAGGAAAGCCATTTGTAGAGCACTTCACTCCATTTGTATTGTTTTTGAAGACTTCAGGAAAAAGCATATGTGACATTTAATGTCCTTAGACTTCATGGTACTTATGCTAGATTTGTTGTGGAAACAATAAACATGAGTTCCCTGGTCTAAAATGAGTTTAATGATCCAGGTTAATGATACTGTATATTAAGCATTTCCCTCCGAATCAAAATTGCCCAGCAGATGTAGCCCTCTGGTGTTGGCAAAAGACTCTCAATCCTTTCCATTAAAGTTCATTGTTCATTCCTTTCATAATAAGTGTTATTTTTGAGGTATAGGTAGTCCTCAACTTACAACAGTTCGTTTAGACCATTTTTCATATTTATGACCATTGCAGTATCCCCATGGTCACCTGATCAAAACTCAGACACTTGGAAACTAATTAATATTTATGATGGTTGCAGTGTTGTAGGGTCATGTAGATCACCTTTTACAACCTTCCGACAAGCAAAGTCATTGGGAAGCCAGATTCACTTAAAAACCATGTTACCAACTAATCAACTGTAGTGATTCACTTAACAACTGTAGCAAGAAAGCAAAGTTGTAAAATGGGGCAAAATTCACTTAACAAATGTTTCACAGCAAGAGAAATTTTGGGCTCAATTATAGTCATAAGTCAAGGACCACCTGTATTCATAAAATTGCAAGTCTATAGTATAGGAGCTATAGTATCTACAATATTAATTACGAAAAATTGAGAGAATGAGATTTATCAGTTAGTGAAGTTCCAGAATGAAATTACTGTTTTTATATAGTGTTAAATATATATATAGGAAGACTGTATGGAGTCTTCATAGAGAGACTAAGCAAAATGATTATATAGTCTCATCCTCCTAAATGTTTGGCATGGTTGCTTCTAGGATTCTCTCTGTAGAGCGCTAATGAAATAAAACTCCGCCAGGATTTGCTGTTCAGTAAAAGATACATTGGATAGGTGAGGAAATCCCTCAAGGCTGTTGCACAAAATCCTTGGGAGGATGGGATTACTTTGATTTGATAACACATTTTTTTCATGCACAGCCTTGAGATAAATAGACAGACTTGTCTTCTAATTGTAAAATAAATTATAGGTGGGGTTATTCTTGAGGAAAAGATTGCTTTTCTGCATTTGTATATGTACATGAATAGAAGTGAATATTTGTATAAAACACATGTATATTCATGCTAGCATGCACTATGTATACATATTCATGCTAGCATGTTTTCCCCTTTTCTCCTAACCAATCATATATGTTCCATTATGTATGTACATCTTCTCTAATGGCTTTGTATATCCTTCCTCAAGTTCTCCATTGAACAATTTATGTTTCTATGCAAAAATATGAACCAAGAATAGCATGCTTATTTACTGTTTACATTAAGACTTAACAGCATGATTTGATGATAACTTTTGGTTCTTTTCTTGCTTGTCTATATTCCCTCCATACATTTTTTTATATTCTAACCTTTTGGTGTCTTTCAGTATTCCTCCTTTAGTATATCCAACTTAAGAAAGTCAGAAAATTCCAGTCATAGACCCATTTGTGCCCAGTTCCCAAGTATTATATGTATAAGCAAAACTCAAGGGACAATTTGATTTTAACAGATAAATTTGTACTATAAGGTCCACTTTGCCTTATTTTCAGCTGGAAAAACTTTATGTATATAAGCTTAATATAGCTTAATATATATATATAATTAGCTTAATATATATATATAATTTTAGTCAGCCTACCATGAGTATTGCTAGCTTCAATTTTATGCTTTTATGTTGTCTTTTAGATATACAATTCATATTTACTTCACAAAATCAGAACTGACCACACCATCCACTGAATATATATAGTTTCCATGGTAGATATAGGACAAATTTGATCCATGCAACCATTCCCCAAGTATCTTTTTTTTTATTTTAAAAAAATGGTTATGCTTTGCCTAATTTAATTTGTCTAACTTCTGTGGACTTACTTATATTCTTTTTTCCTTAGCTTGGTGTGAAAATTGCAAAAGCTGTTGCTTGCCGAAATTTTGTGAAAGCTAAGCAAGATGTAGAGGTTATTCAAGAGGCCCAAAAAAAGAAGAAACTTGCATGGGGGTAAGTGGGTATCTCTTTTTGCAGCTAGTTGATTATTAGACTTAAATGTTTTTCTTCTTCAGATTGAGCCATATTTGTTTAATTCTAAATTTGGCTTTTTCTTTGAATAGTTTATTTTGTGTAGGATTTTTAGTGCAACTGACACTTTATTCAAATGTTTACACCAAGGGTCTTCAAACTTGGTAGCTTTAAGACTTGTGGACTTCAACTCCCAGAATTCTTCTTCCAGTCATGTTAGCTCAAGAATTCTGGGAGTTGAAGTCCACAAGTCTTAAACTTCAAACTTGGTGTTTGAATACCCTTGGTTTACACTTTTCCTTTTTCATTGCTGAAATATTAAAAACTTAGTTACAATTTAGACATTGCTGCTAAATGAATTTTTTCTGAAAATTTCTGAAGAGTACTTCAGTGGAAACTGACATATGCTTGTATTTCTTTACAGTTTTGAAGCAAAGAAAAGATGGGAAACAAAAAGCAACATGGGATACATGTAATTAGTTTTGTCTAGAAAAGCTGAAAAATTGTAAAGCAGGTGGAAAGGTTTGTTAATATATATGATACATAAATTATACATTTGTTTGTTTTAGTTTGTAATGTTTCTGTTGCTGAATGAGTCATTGAACAATTGGTTTCTCTTCCAAATGTTACTATATTTCAGGCCTGCTACCTTCAACCTTTTAACTTTTCTGTCTTTTTCATTACACAAACATTCAAATTGTAAAGTGTTTTATCAAAAATAATTAACATTAAAATATAACAGCTTTATTAACTTATTTTTAATATGAATAAATTGTCTTAATTTAAATTAAACAATATGTTAAAATTCATTTCTTTAAATATTTATATAAAATTATTTATTTTCTGAAAACATCAAGTAAATTTTTCAGTAATTTCTGAAGTACATTTCATTTAAATTTCTCTTATTTATTTATTTAGAGCATTTATATAGCCACCTACCCTAAAACATGTGACCCTGGTGGTATAGTAATTAAATAAAAATTCAGAAAAACAACAATATATGCCACTAAAATAAACTAAAACCCTTAAATGGCTACCAGAATCTAGTCCTCCCCCTACAGAAGAGGAGCTTGGCTTATCTTGAATCAAATGCTTGGACAAACAGCCATGTCTTAATTGCTTTCTGAAGTCCTGCAGGGCCGATTGTTGATTAGGTGGAAAATTGCTTGAAAAGTCAGGGGCTGCCACTGAGAAGGCAAGGTTTCTGGTCCTTATCAAGTAAGATGATATATTTCAAGGATAAGGAATATAAATCTAACAATAACTGATTGTTTTTGAAAACTTGGGTTAAACATTTTATAAAGAAATAGTAATTTTAAGGTTTATGGCAAGTCCTTGGTTTTCTGTACTAATATAGATATTTTTCTTGTTTGTAGCCTCAGGATGTGTGATTTCCTTCATCCCTTTCCGTAAAACATAATATTTTACAAAGATGAGTTTTCCATAAAGTAATGTGGAATTAACTATTATTAGTTATATTGACAGTTAAATACACAGCAAATTCTATAAATTATTGACCAAGCAGGTTTACTGCATAGTATCATAAATCTCTGAAGAATTACTGAAAGGGGAACAGGCTGTTGTAAAGAAAATAGGAAAAGTTTCCAACTTGAGTTACATTACAAGTGTACATAATGTTGCTAGAGTTAGATATTCAAAGACAAATTAACCTACTGAAGGACCCATTTGAGTGTAAAACCTTATCAAAGTATCATCAACATATACAATAAATTTCAACATGTAGTTAGATTCTTTCCTTAGAGTTTAGAATTTCAACTAGTTTAATGACAATATCAAAATAAATAAATAAATTCTACGTTCTTCAACAGCCAACAAAATAGAGTTGCCATCTTTTTCTTGCCATCAGTTTAGAACAGGAACTCGACACGTAGAGTCATTACTTATGTTTATTTTATGACAAGTGTTTTTGCGCTACAAGTACTCCTCAACTTACAATCATTTGTTTAGCAACCTTTCAAAATTAGAACACCACTGAAAAAAGGGCTTATAATCAATCTTTGCAAATAATCAATCTTTATGACTGTTGCAGCAACAGTTCATATTCATATTGGCATTCATCATATTTTTGATCGCACTTCAGTGGAGTTCTATGATGAATGCCAATGGAAATATGAATATAGTTAACCTTTGAGTGACAATTCAGAAACATCAACATTGCGAAGAACAAGATGGCTATGCATAAATGCTGTTGCTACTTTAGAACTAACTTTTCATTGTCCTAATTTGTTTTACTCAGCTGACCATCAGAGTTAGTGCAGAAAGCTTTCCTGTAATTCTGAATTGTTTACAGGATGGTGATGAATAATGTTGGAATCTAAATCAAATTGAGGACAATGTTTTTTGTTCTCCTTCAAACTTTGTATATACAAATAACAGCTTTGTGTTGATTTGGCATTGCCAGTAGAACAATGAAATGGATGGTAGACTAAACAAACCAACAAACAAATAAAACACACATGCAGTGGGGAAATTTCAGTTTCCTTGAAACAGTAACAGGAATATTTTCATTAGTTTGTAACTGACAATACAATATAGCCTAAGGAAAATGTATGACTAGAGAAAATAATGATTATTTTTCCTTGCTTTCCCAAATGAGTTGCCTTATTTCTTCTTTGAAAAGAAAGATATGGCAGAGAAATTGTAGATAAATCTTGTTCAATTTAATGATGTAATTTATGTAGTCAGTTTATATCTCATCCTGCTACTCTAGCAAATTATATATATGTGTGTGTGTGTGTGTATGTATGTATGTATGTATGTGGTATTCAGCTTAAGTTTCTTAAAACTAAAGAATGAATATATATATATATATATATATGTATGTAGATTTACACGGGTACAGGTATGTAGGTCTAGGTGTGTTTGGGTCTTTTCCCGTGTAAGATTAAGAGTACCTTGGCGATGTTTCGGTGAGGTCCCACTCTCCATCCTCAGGCTGGTGCTTTCGGCTTCATGCCAGTGCAAGCAGTGTGTGATCGGAGCTGCCGTCTCTCTATAAATACTGGTGGTGGGGTCTGGTGTGCTGGGCTGGTTGGCTGCGCTGCTGCCTCTTGATTGGTTGATGGAGTTGATGTTGGTATAATGGGCTGTGTGATGGCCTTGTGAGTTTTGTTGTGGATTTATCCTGGATCTTGTGCTGTAATCTGCTGGGTCATTTCTTTTGTAATGATTTTGTTGTGAACAATTGCCCAGCCACATACATTGGACAAACCAACAGGATAATAAATGCACGCATCGCAGAACACAAAAATGCAGTCAGAAGAGAAGAAAATACTTCCTCCCTCTTCCAGCACCTTAAAGCCATAAGACATGAAATTAATTTCGAAGGAACCAAATTAATATCCAACACTGAACACTCCAGCAAGAAAATAATCAGGGAAGCCATCGAGATAGAGAAACACCTCCTTAACATGAATAGATGGGACGATACCTCCCGCCTACCAAACATCTGGAAGCTAGCCCTCACCAACAAATGAGTCCCAGCCACGAAAATCAACACCAGACCCAAAATAACATGGGACACCACCGCCAATCCCTCTCATTAGACCCAGGCCCAAGCCCATCCTATAAATGAAGGACAACCACTATCCAGAAAACAGACCACGGCTGCTTCGCCAGCTGTCGCATCCCCCGACCCCAAAACCAAACAAGCTGACACACGCCAAGAACACAGACCCAGACCCTAAACTTGAAGCCAGACTAAAATTCAGAATGCTACATCACAGCTACCCGCTCAGGACATCACATCAGAAAACTCAGGAAATTACACCACAAGAACTCAAGAAGTTGCAACACAGCAAATGATCCAGGATATCACAGCACAAGATCAAGGATACCACAGCAATAAATCTCACAAGGTCATCACACAACGCATTACCCAAGCCGTTACTACACAGGAGGCTCATGGAAAAGAGATGAAAAAACAAACGACCCAGATTACAACGCAGGACCCAGGATACCACAACAAAAGAACTTGCAAGTCATCACACAACCCATTACCCAAGCTGTTAAAACAAGAGAGGCTAATGGAAAAAAGATCACTACCCAATACAGAAGCCTGATGATAGCAGATGAGATTCTGCCAAAACGTTGCTACAACTTTAAAAGCACAACCATAATGACGTGGGAAAATACCCGAACAAAGCTGAATACCATATATGTTCTGTGGCTGAGGTTTTCTATAGTGGTTAGGGTTTTGGTGCCATTGAAGTTGATGCTATGACCTGTGGCTTTCATCAACTTCAGTGGCACCAAAACCCAAGCCACTATAGAAAACTCCAGCCACAGAATTATCAGAGAAGCCATAGAGATTGAAAAAAGACCTGAAAGCATGAATAGAAGATTCCACCAGACTGTCAATTATTTGGAAGCCTGCACTCACAAACAAAAATCTCCACACCACTAGTCAGACAAACACTGGGCACAAACAGATCCCCCCTGATACCTCCAGTTCCAACACACCCCAACCAGGCACCCAGATGAAACCTAGCTTCCTAACAAATGATAGCCGCCCATTTACTCGGAGCCAAGCTGCACTAAAAGCCTCCAATACAGGAACACAATGTTGTCAGCCAATCAAGACACAAAAAAAGCCACAAAACATACAGAAGATATTAGAAACACCAATCAAGCAGAACACAGCAAACTCCAAGACCAATAAACACAGACCAAAACTCCCAACCAATCAGGATGAAGAAAAAAACATTCTGGCACAGCAGTAGGCTAGCCCCAAATTTAAAACTGAAACAACTTTAAAAGTCTGACTCTCAGACAAACACAATATAGAAGCCTGATGATGGCAGATGAGATTCTGTCGAAACATTGCTACAACTTTAAAAGCACAACTATAATGATGTGGGAAAATATCCGAACAAAGCTGAATACCATATATATAAATACCCGCGAGAACTTAAGAAAAAACACACACACACACACACACACACACACATAATAAAAACTAAAGGCATAAGCTAAAGAGTTGAAAACAAAATTAGCATTAATATTAACAAAGTCTTGCAAGAAAAATGAATCTATTAATGATGAGAACGTTGGGGAATAAATGCAACTCCTGAGAGAGCTGCCATCAACACCTAGAGACAATTAGGGAGATGGTCATCTACCACATATTAGAAAAACAGTCCTTATCAGGAGATTTGAAAAGTATCTCTTTCACCACACTCAGTTTGAGTTTCCAGTTTCCAGTTGAGATGAAATACTTGAGCTGGTAGAATCAAAAATGCAAACAGCAATTAAAAAACGATGTTGATACAATAGATTCAAAATAGATTGTTCCTACCTACTACTAACACTTGCTGATATGAAATTATTTAGAAAAAAGCTCAAGTTTACCTAGTAGGTCCAAAATACCTTGGGTAAGGAATCAAAAGTTGACATGTCTAGGTTAGGTTACATAAAGCCATGCTGGAAATGGGCTGTGTTAATATTGGGAAAGGCTTAATAATATTTCATAAATATTAATATGTAGCAATGAAGAGCATGAACAGAATGCTGAGGCTTAGAAAGCCAATTTTAATTTGATATCTGAATTGCATCAA